TGACACTTTGATAGTAACACACAAAATGTTATTTTGTTTCTCCCTCTCTCTCCCTCTCTCGTTGTCTCCCGTCTCAACATCTCTCATCCTGTTAGATCAATAAACAATTCATTGAAGCTCTTTTCTTTGCTTTTCTTGTCAGAGGCACAGAGGCGTTTTGAATGCATTAAGGCAGCGCTCTGTGCTGTCACACGCTCTGTATTCCAGACCAGAGCTGTCAGTCCCTGCCCTCCCTCCCTCAGCAACCCCCTCCGAAAGCCTTGGGCTCCTCTAATGCCACATTATGCCCAGCCACTCTCCCGGATTACATGGATGTGCAGTTCTCCTGTAGTCTGGGCTCATTAGGTGTCAGCCGGAGTGAGGGAGAGAGAGAGCGAACGAGTGAGTGAATACCCTGGCCGGAGAGATGCTGCAGACATATCGCATCACACGCACACACGGCCGCTGGAACAGCTTGTACCTGTTGACTTCCCAGCAGCCTGTAGCACTCTGCCATAAAAACACTCATGTAACATCTCTTTATCTATCTGTCTTGCTCTCTTCTTGACTAAAAATCTGATTCGTGCTGGAAAAAAGACAGGAGAGATATGAAGCCAGGCAAGGGAGAACCAGTTCTCTCCAATTGCTCTGAGTGCAAGACCCCTTGTTGTTTGGATTTCATTCAGCATCATGTTACCGTGGAAATGAATGGGTCAGAAAGCCTTTAGATGTGACTTTACCCTTTAGACCTAGAGCCCTTTGGTAATGCACTCCTATAATGCTCACATTTATACATCCCAATTATAATTAAGATGCAGTCCCCATGAAAATCATTACACTGCTCTTGGGGGTTCTCGTGACTAATGTTCTCAGTACGCTGTGCTATACACAGATATGTTCGCTTGCGAGCACAGTAGGAAATGGTAAATTTCTCTTGATGGCCCAGTTTCACACAGAGTCAAAGTTCTGTGTTTTGCACATTATACTAATTGTGGGACTAAATATTTGGGCTTTCTTTTGAGGCTCCGCACACCCCCGTGTACGTTAGAAGGGTTGTATGGTTTTGGCACCAGTTTGACCATATTGTCTCGCCCTCCTGAGCCCCTGCTAGCACCCATTGTCCCCAAGCTCAGCGGGCTGCCAAGGCCCCCTCTGCCCCGGAGCGCCCAGGCAGCCCTACCCCCCACCTGGCCCAAACAGCTGCCCCCATGACCCCTCGCTCCTCTCCTGCTGTCAGACCTGAACTTCTCTCACAAGCTTCACGCATACCATACAGTCTTAGTGTATATACTCCATGGCACTGGCTTTCCTGGTACTCATGTATGACACGCAAGCCTATGTGCTTTGCAGACACATCTAATCTGTCAGTCTGCCTTTCTGTCTTCTACATGCATAGTTACTTTTTTTTTAAACATTTTGACATGAGCACCTAATCGTAATTGTGAGTGTGGTTAACCGTACAGGCCTATAATATTCAAATATTACTGTATATTAGGGATTTTTCAGTGACTTATTCCACGGGTTACTTCATTACACCAGTAGGTGGCAACAAGACAAGTGACTGAATCATTTATTCAAACGATTTATTCAAAAACATTGATTCATTAAGGAATGAAACAAGCAAGTCTTTGAAAAATGAATTCTGAGACGACCGAACGCCTGAGAAGAGATGATGCCAACCCCCCAGAAGACCTCAGCTGATGCTAACCCTGGAACAACATATAAAACTACCAAATTTCGCTTAATTGTTTAATCACGATCGCAAAGTTTATAATCATTGCAGTTAATAGTGTTCACCGTCTGTTTAATTACGTGTAATTTGTAACTAACTGCATGATTCTTACTGTACATTTCTGCCATAGTCACCACTAATAACCTACTCCTAAATGTAATGTAGAAACTTAATATTTTCTTGCAACGATTGGTATCGTGAAAAGGACTATACAAAAACTTTAATTGAATTCAGTCAAACACCCTTTGAGGAACAAAAACATGATGTTATTAAACTGTTCCCTCAACTGATTTGTTCAAACACACCTATTAATTAAATACGTAATCACTGATCGTTGTTTGATTTGATTTGGCACTATTTTGTTTGGCGGAACAAAAATTGACAGTAACTATAGTAGCTTTAGTGACACATCATATCAGATACATCAGCTCAAACACCAACATCCTGCATACTGCGTGCTCATCTAGGTAACGCATTCCAAGCGGAGCTTCAGAACAGGTGTCAGGTGTGTCATATTTCCAAGCTCTTCGCTGAGCAACAGGTGACATCACACCTCACGGCATTGGCAACAGACAGAGCAGCAGGAGTTTGTATTCCATCAGCATGGGCGAATTGAAACTCAAGCTAATTGACTTTGGTCTCACCAGCTTAGAACGACACACACTCTCCATGTGGGGTTTCTCAGCTCAAGCATCGGCCCTGTGGGAAACACAGTTGCCTCATCTAACTCTCACATTAAGTTTTAATCACAGCCCCATTCAGTTTGTTTGTATTGCATTCATACTGTACTGCATTCTTAAAATAAAAATCTGATTTTTGTGGTTTTAGTACATGTATATGATCTTTGAAATCATCTGGTAGACTACTAAAAGTTGACTAAATTAACTTCTAGTACATTTATGCATTTAAAATGCATAGTCTATCTCTTCTGGGAAAATTATTTTGGTGATTCAAAAATGTTGATGACTCATCCTGCACTACACAGATTTTTGTCCAATCAGATACTCCCTAGAGTAATAAGAATGCCCCGCCCCAACCAATTGTTAATGGCTGTAATGTAACCAAAGACTTCCCTAGACTTCTTATAGCAACAGCAAATATGTCAACACAGGATAGAAAACTGCTTTTGTCAAGTGAATTCACTGGGTCTCTAGGAGATTATGTCTAGGTGTTACATGGCATATTATGCTAGACATGGATTTCTGGTATTCCCAGAAGTTGTCTTCTGAGCCAGGGATCATATGGGCACAACCATCCTAGAGTTTGAAAGTGTTTGCAGTGGTGAACACAAGCGGAACACCCTCAATACCTAAACGGTGCGGTGCACCCGCTGTTAAGTAACGGCCAATGCTTCTTCAGGGCCATTAACTTAACACTGCGATGGAGCAAAGAGGCCCTTATAAATAGACATAGGAGTGGAGGTAAATTATGCCAAAACTCAGGCAACAGGCAGCAGAAGCCAAAGCCAGTCCTCTATCCAGGTGTCACTTTGTCCAACTCAATTTTGCACTGTAATAGAGGCGAGTGGGTCAGCCACTTCTCTCTCTCCAGTTCTTTTTCTCTGCCTTACCCTTCAGTACCTCACAGAAGAGTTTCTCCCAGCCAGGCCATTTACTTGTGACGCTCTTTACTTCACACCGAGGAACACTTAATTCCAGCTAACACCAATCACATGGACACTGCACTTCCCTTCATGGCTGCCGCTTTATCAACTGTCCCCCCTGCCCTTCTCCTGTTCCCAAAATAGTGTTCTTTCTTCAATGGAAGTGTCCTTACCACCTGAGAAATATGGTGAAATTTGGAGTGAACTGTAAGATGTTATTTTACTGGTAAAAAATCCTTAATACTGAGCTTAAAATTATTAAAATATTGTCTGGAAAATATTCTCTTTATAGTATGCTAACAGCGTAATGTAATTGATCCAAAATGTGGCCAAATCTCCAAATTAAAAAAAAAGACATGGGCCACAGTACATGGTCACTGATTGGGCTTTTCTGTGAAGGGAATACTTGAAATGAAAAGTGGGCAAATTATCATCATTAAATGTTTCAGTCACCAATAATGTGGGATTTTAAGAGCAATCACAGAGCAGCTCTGGTGATGTGGCTTAGTCTTTCCCACCGCCCCATCCAGACCCTTGAGCTCCCTGGGTCAGAGTCCACCTAACCTTTCGCATTCCTCAGAGCCTTTCCTCCCTACCCCCTGTCACCCTGTCTTTTATCTCACTCCACCCGCCCCCTTAAATGTAGCTTTTTAAGTTACTTTACAGCCTTTAGTTTTGCCATGAACCTTCCTGAAGCAAACTTGCATTTCATATCCCCAAACTTCTTTGGGATTTCCATCCATAATCAATGACCACCCTTCCTTTTTATTGATAAACCAAGAGACGTAAGGAGTCATTAAAGATGGAGACAGTGAGAGGGGGAGGGAAACGGCTGGGCCCAGAGAAAGCCAGAAGCAAGGCTTGTCAGTATTTATTTGCAGAGAAGCAGAAATTCAGCTGCACTGTCTGAGATTTAAGAACAGGAATAGTCGTTTCACTCGCTCACCTCGAACTCCTCCTCTCATCCTCTCAATCGCTCCCGTTTTTTCCCCAGCAAATGCTGATTGATCGAGCTTTATGAACATGAGACTGGGGCTCCTCATAGATTTTTAAATTAGTGCCAGCTTTGCCCCAAAGATGTGTTATCGACTCATGAAATAGAAGCGGAGCTTAAAACACTCCCACTTTCCCCAGAGTTTTCTAGAGCCTGATAATTGAAAAAAGTGTGAAGTGTGAGTCTGTGTATGAGAGCAAAGCAAAAGAGAAGGAAAATGCTCACTTTATGCCTTTATCTATTTAAACACCCAGGTGTGAGTCTGGGTTTTTTTTTTTTGTTAACCGGAGATTTCAATGATTTGCTAATATTAATTTCAGCCATCTAACCACTTTAGTTGTTTTGTCATTTCCTGTATCTGTCTGCTGACCTTTTGTGGCACCGTATTATATGTGCATCTCACCCTGTAGTACTGAATTAGATTCTCCCATTGATCCACTGAGACTGAGTGTATTTTCTAAATGAATCATTGTCTTTTTCAGCTTGATTGTCCAGTTTCTACAGTAATCATGGGATTCACAAGAACCCGTGATTGCAAAAATTAAGATTTTTTTTCAATAAAGAGTCAGGCAAATAATAGTCCTGCTCCAAAAGCCAATGCTGCTGCGTTTTAGTTAGTCAGGACACTTTAACATACAAACTGTAAATTAAATCGTACACTCATGCTAACATCTCGCTCTTTCTTTTCACAGGATCAGATATGGCCATCTTCTGTTTGCTGTGCGGGAAGCGCTTCCAGACGCAGACGGCTCTGCAGCAGCACATGGAGGTCCACGCAGGCGTGCGCAGCTACATCTGCAGCGAGTGCAACCGCACATTTCCCAGCCACACCGCACTCAAGCGCCATCTCCGTTCGCATACAGGTCTCGCATCAGCTCTTCAGTTTGTGTGTCTTGACGTTGCGCAATTGTGCATAACCGACAGCCTCAGGAGCCACATTTTTGGAATGAATCAGTAATACATACTAATTTGGTGCTTTGATGTTTTATGCACATCCGTCAAGCCGACTGATTATTTTAAACATGCTGAGATGTGATTCACCCTGTAGAGTGTTTAAATCAGGATCCTGGTACAGTCATTGTGTTGGTTTTTTTCTCCCGCCCGTCTTCCCATCACCTTCTGGATGGAGGTGGATGGAATGAAGATAGCAGGCTGAAGTGACATGTCATTTAGCGAAAGGCCAAAGCGCTGTGATGGCTTGTGACAGCGCAGATATCACCCTCCCCGGTCGGGCTAGTCCTGCTATACGGCGGATCCATCCCCATGTGGCCAGACGCGTGGCTGAGCAGATGCGGCGACTCTGGGAACAGTCTCCATTACTGTCTCCGAATATGAGACGCTGGAAATGAATCCCATTTTCTCCAGAAAGCCTTCTCCCCCCATTGTCTCTGACCCTAAATAACAGTCTGACGTGTCAGAGTTGCTTTACTCTGCAGCTGCAGGGATGAATATTTGAAGCGAAAGTGGAAGATGAGCAAAGCCCGCCTGTTTATAGGCCACCCGGCCTTTATTGGGCGGCTGATGGTACAAGGCAGCCAAGCGCTTACTGTACTCGCTTGTCCTCGCCGGACCGTACATCGGAGCCGACGCTCCTGCCTGCACGCATAAATGTCAATGGTCTGCTTCGTCGCAGACGTGGTGGAGGGAGAGAGAGAGGCTGTGACGCAGCGTCGTGCTAGTTTGAACCCAATTCTCTGTAGGCATGTATTAAATTACAATGAGCGCTAGCAAGCACCCGTTTAATGTGATGTGGGGGCTTTTGTCAAGGAACTGAAAGGGAAAAACTGCTATTGGCACTTGCAAAAACCACCGAAAATAAGTCTCTAAATTTTTTTCTTAAAGAGGACAAAAAAAGAAGACTCACTGCTCGCGTTTAATTCTCCTTTGATCTTCTTAATCTCATTCACAGTGTATTTTTTAATGCTGGAAACAGAGTCGCTGATGTGATAAGCACTCGGATGTTCCTCCAGAGCCGTGTTTCCCAACCTTTTTTTTAATCTTATGTACTCCTACAACCCTGTCAATAGGGCTCAAGTACCCTTTTATCAACACCACACCAGAAATATCTTCCTTGAATTTATTGTTTATGTTAATATATTTCAAGTCACCATTGTTGCATTGATTTACTTAAACAGTTACTACACACCAGGTGGTTTATATAAAAAACCTTGTTTTGCCTTTAAATCATAGGCTTTCTCAAAGAATTAAAGTCTCAAAGATTTTAACATGCATTTTGTGATTGACGTTTAACATGCATTTCAGTCATTTGCGCACTTTGTATAGTGGAATTTAAGTATAATTGAATCTATAATGGTTATACATTATTAACCATGAACAAAACATACATTCACAAACGTTTATTGTACAAATGTTTATCCATCAGGACTTTTTTGCTGGCCAGTGGCAGCAAAAAAAAATTTTTTTTAAATAACACATGTAAAGTTAAGTTCAATCAATCAATCAATAATTTTATTTCGGTTCTCACAGACAACTTTTCACAACATAAATAAATAAACATAATTACCAAAAAAGGTGTAGGCTGAAGTCTTACTTATTATGCCTACCCTTTATACATAATTAACTGATGAGCGACACTTTTCACTAAGAAATACAAGATAAACATGTTACATAAACATTACCCCAAATGTACATACTGTACATAATTCAAAACAACATAACAAAAATACACATTACAACTATTACTTCAATATTGTAAAAATACATTCACACTTATTGATACGGAGTCATATAATTATTTATCACCTTATTTTTATACATTTTCTTGAATTTGCAGAGTGAATTACATAATTTTAATTCCTTATCACAAGTATTCCATAGATTTACCCCTTTAACAGATAAACACCTACTTTTTGCATTAGTTCTTGCCCTAACTTTTTTAAACATATACAAGTTCATAAAATGGGGGTCAATTGTATTTTTTTTTTAAATGTTGCTTTTGAGTGTTTTATTGATTTTAACATTTTGAGTTCTATATCTTTAAGATTTCTTTACATTATCACAATTATTCCATAGATTTACCCCTTTAACAGATAAACACCTACTTTTTGCATTAGTTCTTGCCCTAACTTTTTTAAACATATACAAGTTCATAAAATGGGGGTCAATTGTATTTTTTTTTTTAAATGTTGCTTTTGAGTGTTTTATTGATTTTAACATTTTGAATTCTATATCTTTAAGATTTCTTTACATACATGAATTACACTTCAAAACTGTGGAAATAGTAATTCTTTCCTCTTTTTTTGCATTAAAGGATGCATTAAACTGACCAAAAGTAACAGTAAACACATTTATAATGTTACAAAAGATTTTGACAAATAAATACTGTTCCATTGAACTTTACATATACCAAAGATGCAAATTATAATAAGAGAAATAATTAGTGTTTTTTAAACACCAAATCAGCATATAATAACATTAAAATAGAAAATTATATTTCACAATAATACTGTTTTGACTGTAATTTTGATCAAATAAATGCAGTCTTGGTGAACATGAGAGACTTCTTTTAAGATACCTTACAGACCCCAAACATCTGCAAAGAACTGTTAATCATTTAATTTGTATAGTTTGCACATTTTTTTTCTTTCTTTAGTGCATTAAATACATGAAACTATTATCTAATAATGATCTAGTATCAGTTGTATAGGTTAAATCAAATGAATTCAGTTGTATAGGTAAGCGAAATCAAAGTATTTTCAGGTATTCTCTGCAGTATGCACTCTGCAAAAACACTGAAGCAATAGCTTAACGTATCCCTTTTTGATCCATGTGTGTGGTGCCCACTCAAAAATAAGTTAAATGAGTGATTATGGGCCCACACAGTCATTACTCAGTAATTCAAGCCCAAGCTTAAATTTGATTTGTCATACCTCCACCTAAATGCTGATGCAGAACCAATTTTGACAGGATTTCAGCGAATGATTACATGCGTTTCCGCTGATTTTTGAGAGGAATTTCTGTTCTTGAATGTACTTGCTCGTGTACTTTTACAGGCGCGCGCAGTGTGAGCGAACGCTGGCATCCATTAGGGCTGATAATCATGGCAGCCCCCTCGCTCCCCCCTCCGTTCCGCATGCTGCCGGCCGTGCCTCGTTAATATTCCGTTGTTGTTCTGTGCTTGTGTTTTATTCGGAGCCCATTTTCCATCTGCGGCGGGTGTTTTGTGTTCGCAGCTGTGTTTGATAGTGCAGCCCAGTCGAGACCCTGGCAGTGATGGATCCTTGATTTACGCTGCTTAGCGCATAATGAACTTGGCCCCTGCCTTAACGTAAGCCTCGGCCCTGCCAGGAGCCAGGCGGTGCCCGCAGAACCCGGCCAGGTACGCCACCGCAGCGGTCCCCTGAGGCACGGGGACGCAGGTGGCAGCCCCCGAGCTTCCCAAATGTCTTTTCCGCCCTCTTTGTGCCTCGCAGCCACCAGACTTACAGACAGACACAGAAAGGAACCGAGGAACACGCAGTCGGTGACAGCATCTTGATCTATCACCTTGTATCTTTACTGCCTCAAAGCTTAATGTATTCCAAACAAAGCAAAGCCGCCAAACAGAATTTGATAAGCAAATTGCCTTCTGTTTATAGCAGCGACACGCTGCATTTACATACCAGGTAGCCTAAAAAAATACCAGGCGAGTATTACGATATGAATTTGTGCATTGTGGTATCATGAGATAGCGGTCACAAATTATTTTGTCAAATAAAGATTTAATATGCTTTTACTGAGGGTAGAAGCAAGCCTGTGGATTTAACTGGTGGCCAGTTTTCTGGAGGCTAACGCAGATGTCTTCGATTGAAGCGCCAGCTTAGGCACAATTAAAGTCAGGTGAATTTGGCGCGAATGCTATTCTCGTCGCGAGCCGGAGAGCAGTCAGGGAGCGTGATGGATTGTGATCTCTTCTGCTGCGGAGGCATTTCGAAGCGCCAAATTTCTTACAGCGACTGATAACTTCATGCGCACAAATAAATACTGTCACTTTTATTGATTTCTGAAATGTATGGGGGGGTTTTGTCTTTTTTGTGTCATCTCCTGCTTTTTTTTGTCTCCCATTACTGGTGAAGCGAAGACGGTGGAGCCAGAGCAGCCATGTAAATGTGAGGCGTTTAGCTGCGTCTCGCCACAAAACATGCCTGAGGAAATTGATATTGTCTGGTAACGGGAGGCAGCGGGAGTCTGAGCATGACAGTACATAACGAGAAATGCAATTTATTCCCAGGCACGGTGCCGCTCGGACAGCCAGATAATGAAACGCGTAGGTCATAGACAATGACTTAAACCCTCCGCACAGAAGTGAAATGCATTAAATATGGGGAACATTACACGCCTGGCAGAGTCGTGCATCTGTACGGAGAGAGAGTGATATATGGTTAGCTGATAGTGAGACACAAAAACGCAATTAGAGCAGAGAGCAGAAAAAGAAACACCCCCGCATATCATAATATCACTGATTACTGACCTCTGAATATCCATTACAGTGCAAGAAGACAGGAAGATATAGATGACAATGACCTATAACAGACAACTGATGATATTGTACTGAGAGCTTATAATGGCTTGATTTCAAATAAATATTATAGGCCAGCTGTTTAATGCTTTGTGAGAGAAATAATTACTTTTTTTTTTTTGTCTTCCCTCATGATTTTTTCCTCATATTTTCTTTGTTTTCTAACATTTTCAAATCTTTTCATTTTACAGCCTTTGTATATTCAGTTCATTGACATTAAAGGTTGTAAAATGTATTCTTCTATTCTTTTTACATTTTGTTTTGCAGTGATAACCAACTTTTGCTTTCCCCAGATTTCCCCATTGCTTTCCAGTGTGTATCAGTGTATAAAGTCAGAGTAAACACTTTTATGGCTCTATCAACTATAAACATAGTTCTGTTTGTTTGAGTATCACAACATTGCAACAATGTCATTTTCTGTCACTAAAGGTATAGAAGTTACACCTTTAAAGGGATAGTTCCCCCCAAAATTAAAATTCTGTCATTAATTACTTACCCTCATGTCATTCCAAACCCATAAGACCTTCGTTCATCTTCGGAACACAATATATTTTTGATGAAATCCGAGAACTTTCTGACCCTGCATAGACAGCAAGGGAACTACCACGTTCAAGGCCCAGAAAGGTAGTAAGGACATTGTTAAAATAGTCCATGTGACATCAGTGGTTCAACCGTATTTTTTTGAAGCTACAAGAATACTGTGCAAAAAAACGAAAAAAAAAAAGGCTTTCGAGTTTTCATTTTTGGGTGAACTATCCATTTAAGTGTAATTTAAACACACAACCGTGTTTATGATTAACATTAACTTGCATATACTACGTATACTGACCAGACCTCTGTCCAGCAGGTGACCATCCATTTGAGTGTGAGTTCTGCGGCAGCTGCTTCCGAGACGAGAGCACACTGAAGGGACACAAACGCATCCACACCGGAGAGAAACCCTATGAATGTAACGGCTGCGGCAAGAGGTTCAGCCTCAAACACCAGCTAGAGACCCACTACCGTGTTCATACAGGTACTGTACACTTCTTCTTGTTTATCAAGCCAAGGCGACTGGAAAAGCTTTCTTTGGGTATTCTAGTCCTCCTTGGTTTATTGTACTACTTTTCCAGCACCAGTGAGGATTTTGATCCAGTAACATGCCCTACTTAAATCACGTTAAGCGCTACGGTCGCATGTAGAGCTGCTGTTATCCTTGTCAGCGGGCGAGCGTCATATCAGATCTTTAGATCACAGCTGAGGCCGATGCCAGAGCAGGCCTTGCCTCTGTTTGGCTTCAGACCTGTGTAAAGAGCCCCTTTCCTCTTGTTAAGGTGATATCTGATTGATTCATACGTTTTGGCACTCTGTAAAGCCCACACCAAAGGGCAGGCCATTTCCAGTGCTGTCGACTCACTCTTTGACAAGGGGATTAGCGCGGTACTGTAGAGACCAGGTCTCTCGGACGCACACGACGGACACCAGATCTTCCCCTCCTCTCTGCCACTCAAAAAGCGATGCCGCTAAGCCAAACTATCAAGAAAGCCTGTCGAATAATTGGCTTCTTTGGGTGGGGTAAAGCCTCGGCGGCGAGCACAAGAGCGCCCGAGATAACAAGAACAACGACAAGCTCACAGTCAAAGGCCACTGCATGCAAAAAGGGAGCCGCTTGATGAAGCATCGACATTGGCAGCCCTGCTCCTGTCGATGAGCAATCAATAACTCGGCTCCATTTGCAATTCATTATTGCCTGGTTATCTGAGGCTGCCCTGTTTACAGTGCAGTTAAAGTACACTGACCACACGTGCATGTATCACTGGAGTCTCGACGGTTTAATGACCGTCTCATTAGAGCCTTTGCATACGCAAACGCAGACGGACGTGACATTGCTCGAACCGCCGAGGTCAAGGTTCCTCAATCCCTCCGTTAAACAAACAGAAGACCTGAGCAAACAACGCAGAGACTTTGCATTCCCAGGATGCCTTTACCCAACACGAGCATTCTTCAATCCTCAACTTATCAATGCTTTCCCTAGTGACAAGGTCAACGTTTAGATGACTAATTTACACCGTCGGAACAAATGTGCTGCGCTTTGCGTTACTGTCTCTTTAAGAGGTTTCTGTCAACATTCTGATCTAAGAAACAAATTTATTTAACTGTGTAGCTAGTTTGTCAAATGCAACATTCACTGCTGTTCCACATGATTGTTTTTCAGTTACACTATGCTGCAAAATTTTTGTACACTTGTCTGTTATGAGACAGAAAAAAAAATGTAAATATATACAAAAATATTTTTTTAAACATATTTGAACAGTAGTTAAAAAAAATTAAATAGTCAAATCATTAGTTATTAAATATCATTGCAATTTAAAATTGGTTTCTATTTTAATATATTTTAAAATTTAATTTATTCCTGTGATGACAAAGTGACATTTTCAGCAGCCATTACTCCATTACTCTTGAGTGTCACATGATTCTTTAGAAATCATTCGTAACTGTTCAAGAAACCTTCTTTTATTATTATTATCAATGTTGTAAACAGCTTCATATTTTTGTGGAAATTGTGATATGTTTCAGGTTTTTTTTCTTTATTTTTCTTTATTTTTTTAAGAACAGCATTTATTTGAAAAAAAAATAGGTTTTTAACAATGTAAATGTCTTTACTGTTGCTTTTGATACATTTTATTCATCATTTAATTTATTTATATGTTTGATTTATGTATATAAGTTCATACATGTTTTATGTAAATTTACATTAAAATCTTGATTTAAAAAAAAATCTATGGACTATCTATGGATAATGCATCAAAACCATGTTCCGTATAGCATTACTAGGGGAGTCATTCACTTAATCATATTCCTACTTTCCATACAGATGAGTATTCCTGTCTGTTCACGAATATCAGAGAGCACCATTCAGAGTACAAAATCTCTTGACATGTCATGCAAAACCTTGACATTTTCTGTTCTCCATGCAGGTGAGAAGCCGTTTGAGTGCAAGCTCTGCCACCAGCGCTCCAGGGACTACTCGGCCATGATCAAACACCTGCGTACCCACAACGGAGCCTCACCGTACCAGTGCACCATCTGCCTGGAATACTGCCCCAGCCTCTCCTCCATGCAGAAGCACATGAAGGGCCACAAGCCCGAAGACATCCCCCCGGACTGGAGGATAGAGAAGACTTACCTGTACCTCTGCTATGTCTGAAGGAGGGAGACGGCGGGGAGGGAGGGGAGCGGGAGGGGAGCGGGAGGGCGAGGGGTTAAAGCGCCTGGAAACACAGTCAGGAAATGGACAGATTTGTTGGTGGTGCTGGGCAAGGCGGACAGAAATCTTACCCCGTCAGTATAGCAAAACATAAAAAAAAGCATCATGTTATAGCCGTATATGGGAAGTCCACTCTCTACATGTCAGCTTACGTCCCAAACGTTAAATGTCTTATCAGTCAAACGACACACACTTCAACAACGATTCCTTCTCTTCATAAGGATGCCCTCTTCTGGTACAAAAACAGTAGTGTGAACCAGACACAGTGTTTATCTCTCAGAGATGTCGGTGCAAGAAGCACTTAGACCTGTCAGCGGTAACGTGCCAGTCAGGTACTCCACAGAAAATATGAACAGTCATGTTCATCAGGGTCATTACTGCAAACTGGAATGTAAGCTTCCTGCAAAACATGTTCACAATGCCCGGCTGACAGTCAGCATGTAGATCCCTCCCATATGATTCACATTCATTAAGGGCTTATTGGTTTAACCAGCGTACAAATCAGCTAAGCTCTCAGTACTCTGCTCATCAATGTCATTTAACTTTTTTTTTTTTTCTCTCGGCATAGCGCGTATTACAAGCTGACTTCACGACGACAGTTTTTGTTTGATGTTGATTTCTCAAGCGCAACATTTCAAGTTTATTTTAAGCAGAGTAACACGCACACACCGTACATGTTCATGTTATCTCCTCCTTCGCTTATCAAGTCTGAAATCGCTTAACCGTTCGAAACGAGTAACTTGGCAATACATACAGAACATCCATTACACACTAGAAATCTAATGAACTGTTTATGCTGTTGTTATAGAGACCAAAATGATGACTGAAGCTGCTTTAGTCAGTGGCTTGCAGACTGAGCGGCACTGTGACGTACAGGTCTCGTCCACACATATCCGTGTGTTCGTAGGTGGTCACGAGGCTTGGCCTGTCCAGCCGGGAACGCTGGGATGAATGAACAGAGCAGATCAACTCTTTTGGTTTGGTTCCTTTCGCTTTGTTTGTGTTTCCTATTATACCTTGATTTACTTCAGCACATCGTACTTGAATTACCTCGTTTTTTTGTGACCTCATGTGCTAGTGTTTTAATTTTTCCTTTGTTTCTTTGTATATTTGACTGTTTGCTTTGCGAGCAGGAGCGGCGTGTGCTTTTATGTACTTAAGAAATTAAGTGCCATAGTGAAGAGAGATTGTCTTTCGTTCGAAGTTTGTTTTTCTTTGCATTAATCTTACCAAACTTGGTATTATGTTTTTGTTTTGTTTGTTTTGTTTTACTAACCCTGCTTGTTGAAGAGCTTGTGGGTTTGGTCTTTTTTTGTTGTTGTTGTAAGCTACCTCCAAGTTTTGTTTCTTTTTGTTGTGTTTCGTTTGCGAAAGCACAGTTGTGTTTTGCGTTATTGCAACTTCATCTCACGCTTTCAAGTGTTGTACGTCGGAAGCGATGAATATGAAAGGGTAGGATTTGCTTATAGGAAAAGCGGATTGACAAAAATAATCAGAACTTTCCCTATCAGTCCCCCCCACCCCTGTAAATTGTTACCTTAAGAGCAGAAAAGAGATTTCTGAAAAAAAAAAAACGATAAACTTGAAAATATGGGAATAGAATTGTAGTTTTGTAATGTGAAAAAAGAAGGTTCACAGAGCGTGAGCCGCCAAGAACAGGTCATATGCAGCAGTGCATTGTGCGTTGGACAATTGGGACTGCAAGTGGTAATCAAAGACGAAAGGAAGAAAAAAAAAAACGAAAAATCCTGTCAGTTGACATGTTTCTTTGTATGAGTGTAGTCCTGAGCAAGAGCCAACAGAGGCCATTTGATATATAAAATTGTGATATTTTTGTATTAAGTGTCAGTCCCTTTTTTCCATTTGTTGAGGTTGCAGCGGGGCAAAACTTTGTAGTTCTTTTTTTATATCATTATTCTCTCGTTTGAATCGTTTGCCTTGCTCCTCTTCGGTAATGTTGGACAGTGCGTGATCCTATAGTGGTAAATGTTGCTTTCTGGATGTCAATACATTGCAGTTGAAGGACTAAATCAGCCACATTCTCCTTTGTGAAAATAACAACAAACAAACAAAACTAAAAAAGATGTGATGCCAATGATCAATTCCATTGCACACGATATCTCAGACAAAACAATCAATGTTGCCAACGTTTTGTTTTTTACTTGAAGTGACTAAAAAAGAAGGGATGGGAAGACGCATCAAAGGAAACGTTAATTGTCGTGTGTCTTGCCGTTGTTTTCTGGAAAACACTGTGAGTTTGGGCATACATGCCCCCTGTGAGAATTTAAAAACTAGTAACTCCATGAAAAAAAAAAAAGGCAGAAATATATATTTTGTTCTGTAAATGGATAATGTCGACTGATGTTAAATGGGTAAAACAGAGTTTTGCAATATGTGGCAACAATACGATATATTAAGTGACATGTTAGTGTACCTTTTTGATTTTGTACTTTGCTTTGAGCTATGCCACTTTTCTCTCACCATGATTAAAAAATATTGGCATTGATATAGTTCTTCCCTCAATGTTCTTCTGATGTTTCTGTAATATCTTTGTGCCTAAATGAAATTGTTCAACAAATTGTCCACATATATCTGCTTAGTTTCTGTATTTTCAAGAAAATTATTGGTGTCTTCAGGGCTCCAGGGGTGCCATGATGATCTCAGATGGATTCACTTGAGACGATTTTTGTTATGTGATGATCATTTGGTCTATTTTCAGTGGTTCCACTGGCGACCGATCAGTATTGTAGTGTTTTATACACAGTTCGAAAAAGACAAGCCAAACATTCCTTGGATCGGAATAAGAGCGTTTTTCACACTGAATATCCTGCTTTGAGGGGGAAAAAAATTGATGTTTGAGAATCAAACTTACTTTCATTTCCTCATTCTTTTTTTGCCTCAGCAACAGGTTTGCTGATTAAACTTTTCAACCATGTCCCTTTAACATTCGGCATTTGTACTGCCCCTACTAGACATTTTTATTTGTTGTTTAAAGTACTTATGTTATCATTGCATCCCTGGAGTTGGCTCACTGTGTTCCAGTGTGGTGTTCTAGAAAGAGTAGCCATTTCATGCTGTGTTGCCATGCATGTGCCATTGAGGTCAAAACTAAAACTGTTTGAGTAACAAAGCACCAAGACGTTGTCTTTTTTTATATTAGCACTGAGGACCAATTGCCCTGTCGGACCAAGCATAACAAAGCTTTTTATGTAACAAAGCAGTTTCTCTCTTCCCCCTGTCTCTACTGGATCCCCCTCTCCTTTCCTGGCTTGTCTGTATTTTTTTCCTCCCTTGTGACAGCACAAGTGCCAGTCCTGTTGCTCTTTAAGAATATAGTGTTTTGTTTCTGGGGTTTTATTTTTGTTTGTTCTATTATTATTATTTGAATTGTTATAGTTACGTCTACCTCAGCACCTAATCTTAGCCTAATCTTAGAAGGTGCCCAATTTTTATTTTTATTTTTTTCAGTTTGTTGTCAGTTATACAAATTTTAATTTGCATTAGAGCTTTGCAACGGTCCTTTGTCTTTTCCAGCAACATGCTATTTTTTGTAGCACTACTTTCTGAATGTTGTGCTACAGATATTGGCATCAGTTTCCTGATGTAGTCTTTCTTTCGGTGTAGGATCAGACACATCTCTTTGTAACATTTCAGTGTTCTCTGATGGAGTGTGAAAAAAATAAAGAATTTAAAGAGATCGAACGCTGCAGGTTTTCTTCTCAGTGTTGTCACGAAGTAAATTTTGTGCCTTTAATAGTGAAAGATATTTTTTACATCCTACTAACAGTAGATTGTTTTTGTAGTGTTGTTTTTTTTTTTTATTTTGTTTTTTATTTATGAGTCTCAAAATAACAATGTTCAGTTGTATTCCTTAAATCTGCAGTTAGAAAAAAATAAATAAAAAAATGGACTTAAGTTTGTCTGGCTTTTTCATGTGTTCGACTCACAGGAGTTAATGATCCTTTATACAACAAATATTTTATAATTTATTCACCCTCATGTAGTTCCAAAGCCATATGATGGACTTTCCTGTGTGAATCACAAAAGGAGATGTTATGCAGAATGTTCAAGCTGCTCTTTTGTATAAAATCAAAAGTGAATGGTGACCACTACTGTATTACGTAATTTACATTTTGAGTTGTTATTTCTCAAAGTAGAAATAGAATGTTTCATGATGCTATTTTTGAAGTTTGCAATCTCCTGGTCACCATCCACTTCTGCACTGAAGAGAGAAGCGTGAACATTGGGATAGGTTTGTAACAAGATGAGGGAGTAAATTATATAATTTTTCACTAAAAAATGCATTTTTAAATTTATCTTGGACCGTAAATATATCAGTTTAGCATCAAATCTCTATTACAGAAGTGATTTGCTGTTCTTCATGATGCTTAAATGCCGTTGTTTATTATAGACAGCCTAGAGTCGGTAAAACAAGGCGAGACAGTTTCATTAAAAATTACCGATTAGTCTGATTCAAACGTATCTTTATTTAAAAAAAATACATGAGTAGGAAAACCTAATAATAAAAGTTAATGGCCAGTGTATTGTGAATATAGTGCGGTTAGCACCACCTGCAGCTGAGATAATGCCAAATATCTTACCAAGTCAAATATTACAAGTTAAGAGAGTAGAGGGACAAAACGAGACTGAACTTGATGCAAGTACATTATCCAATAAATCCTTCAGATAGTAAAGTGGAGTCACACAGGTAGTGAACAGGTTCTGTGCCTTCACTGCCTGCTCTCATTACTATTCGGAGGGAAATAGACTGAAACAAAAGCAGTCTCTGCTTCTCTTTTATTCTGGGGGGAGACAATAAACTGAGAATACAAACCTCAGTGCTTTAGAGAGTCTGCCTGTGTTCATTACATAGAGCTCTGTGTTAATACCAGGAACCATCTGAGCAAATAATGGCAATTCGCTGCTATGCTAATGCTCCCTCTGGTATTGTATCTGTCTAACTGTGTGTGTGTGTGTGTGTGTGTGTGTGTGTGTGTGTGTGTGTTTGAGTTATGATCCTGTTGAATTATTGTAAACATCTGCCAGTGTTAGGCTGTACGCACAGCAATAGCTCAGCGTAACTGCTGCCATCTTGTGTGAGCGCCACAATTTTTGCCTGTTAATTCATATTCAACAATTGTCTGATAGAATTGAAAACAAACGTTACGTGATCACAAAGTATGAACATTTTATTCATGTATTGATTCCACATATAATACAAATACAACACGGATATTATATCACAAGGATCTGTATACAATATAATACACTTTTCCATCACTAGACGTAATTTTTGCATTGTTGGTTCCCTGATAGCACACGTAGCCCTCATCACAGACGTCTATTTGACGTCTGCATTTACATCTGCAAGAGGTATTTTTAGTGTTTGCTCATTTGTAATACGTCTATAGGACGTTTCCTAACAGATGTCAAATAGTCGTTTTTTTAGATGTCTTTAAGATGTTTATGGTTTAGAATGTATGTAAAACTGACATCCTAAAGACATCTGTCAGATGTTTGTAAACAGCAGATGCTTTCCAGATCAAGCGGTCTTTAACAGACATCTTGTAGAGGGCTATCTGGGTTGGTTTTGGTTTTCTCTGAACACATTAGCAAATCTACAGCGAAATTTCGCGAACAAAAACGATCAGTTATTGTCAATAGCATGGATGCGTGTTAGATGCCGCTCACAGAAGTTAAGTTAAAGCAGGTTTTGTTGGTCAAAGCGGCTAATTCATTTGACCAATTTGAAATTGAGCGAAATGTCCTGTCCACAACTCTGGATCCTTTTGAAATGACTGAATTTAATAGAGCAACAGTAAATGAAGATAGTCACATTAGCGAAATTTCACGGTCAAAAAAGTTCCATTGTATAAACAATATGCATCAGAGAAACAATTGCGCAGCTTTTTGAATTTTGTCTTTGAACTTCCGTTTATGCGGTAGCTATAGCTTTACTTTGTAGAGTTAACGAAAGTTATCATGTGCATTGTAATGTTCAAAGTGGATGTCATAAATGTCAGTAGACCGTGAAGATTTTAAAACGAGCAGTTCATTCAGAAATTCGTACAACCCTTCATTCTGTGGAAATAGCCTACCAACAGGAAAACAGAAGAATGAGCGCAGTGCTGCTACACAAGCGATATATATTGTCAAGCGTAGTGATATTTAAAGCACACCTCACTAATAAATTCTGGCATAAAGTTGACTTGACGTTGGACGTTCGATATTCGCAAATTTAGGGACCGTCTCTAAAGTTACATGCGATATTGGTATACACTTTTCTAACTTCAATAGCATTTGAGGAGAATGACTTAGTCATAAAAACAACTGTAAACTGTTCATCTGTGTCAACTATAATGCACATCTTTTACATTTTTTATATTTATTAAAATAAACTGTAAATCATTTGTTAAAAAATTCTATTTTTTCACTACCGAATTGGCTCAAACGAAAATTTAAGGCTCAATAGCATTTGAGGAG